TTAATATCATGGCTGCAGTCACTGTCTGCTGTGATCTTGGATCCCAGGAATGTGAAGTCTATCACTGCTTCCACGACTTCCCCTTCTATTTGCCAAGGAGTGATGGGGGTGGATGCCATGATCTTAGTTTTTTTTTATGTTGAGTTTCAAGCCAACTTTTGTGCTCTCCTCTTTCACCCTGAGCAAGAGGCTTTTGAGGTCCTCTTCACTTTCTGCAATTCGAGTGGTATTGTCTGCATAACTGAGGTTGTTGATGTTTTTCCTGGCAATCTTTTCTTTTCCCAGCAATCTTAATGTGATTCATCCAGGCTGGCATTTTGCATGATGTACTCTGTGTATAAATTAAATAAGCCGGGTGACAATATACATCTTTGTTGTACTCCTTTTCCTATTCTAAACCAATCAGTTGTTCCAAATCCAGTTCTAACTGTTGCTTCTTGACCCTTATACAGGTTTCTCAGGAGACATGTGAAGTGGTCTGGTACTCCCATCTCTTTAAGGACTTGTCATAGTTTGTTGTGATCCATGCAATCAAAGGCTTTAGCTTAGTCAAGGAAGCAGAAGTAGATGTTTTTCTGCTACTCCCTTGCTTTCTCCATAATCCAGCAAATGTTGGCAATTTGATCTCTAGTTCCTCTGCCTCTACCTCTTCGAAACCCAGCTTGTAGTTCTGGCAGTTCTCTATCCACATAGTGCTGAAGCCTAGCTTGTAGGATCTTGAGCGTGACCTTGCTAGTGTGTGAAATGAGTGCAATTGTGCGATAGCTTGAATATTCCTTGGCATTGCCCTTCTTTGGGATTGGAATGTAAACTGACCTTTTCCAATCCTGTGGCCACTGTTGCGTTTTCCAAATTCGCTGGCATATTGAGTGCAGCACTTTAACAGCATCACCTTTTAAGACTTTAAATAGCTTCACTGGGATACCATCACCTTCGCTAACTTTGTTGTTAATAATGCTTTCTATTTGACTTCACACTCCAGGATGTCTGGCTCAAGGTCAGTGATCAAACCGTCGTGGTTGAAAAAGACATTGAGGTCCTTCTTGTGTAGTTCTTCTGTGTATTCTTGCCATCTCTTCCTAATCTCTTCTGCTTCTGTTAGGTCCCTACCATTCTATTCTTTATCATGGCCAGCTTTGCACGGAACATTCTTTTGATTTCTCCAATTTTCTTGAGATCTCTTGTCCTTCCCATTCTATTGTTTTCCTCTATTACTTTGTATTGTTCATTCAGGAAAGCCTTCTTATCTCTCCTTGCTGTTCTCTGGAAATCTGCATTCAGTTGGGTAAATCTTTCCTTTTCACCTTTGCCTTTCACTTTCCTTCTTTCCTCTGCTATTTGTGAAACCTCATCAGACAGCCACTTTGCTTTCTTGCATTTCTTTTTCTTTGGGATAGTGATGATTTCTGCCTCCTGTAAAATATCACAAACCTCTGTCCACAGTTCTTCAGGCACTTTGTCTATAAAATCGAATCCCTTAAACCTATTCTTCACCTCCACTGTATATTCATAAGCGATGTGATCTAGGTCAAACCTCAATGGCTTAGTGGTTTTCACAACTTTCTTCAGTTTAAGCCTGAATTTTGCAATGAGTAGCTCATGATCTGAGCCACAGTCAGCTCCAGGTCTTGTTTTTACTGACTGTATCAAGCTTCTTCATCTTTGACTGCAAATGACATAATCAATCTGATTTCAGTGCTGCCCATCTGGTGATATCCATGTGTAGAGTTGCCTCTTAGATTGTTGGAAGAGGGTGTTTGCTGTGATCAGCGTGTTCTCTTCACAAAACTCTGTTAGCCCAGCTTCATTTTGTTCTCCAAGGCCAAACCTGTTCGTTATTCTGGTTACCTTTTGACTTTCTTCTTTAACATTGCAGTCCCCTATGATGATAAGAACATCTTTTTTTGGTGTTAGTTCTAGGAGGTGTTGTAGGCGTTCATAGAACTGTTCCATTTCACCCTCCTCTGCGTCAGTGGTTGGGGCATAGACTTCGATTACTGTGATGTTGTATGGTTTGCCTTGGATTCGGACCGAGATCATTCTGTCATTTTTGAGCTTGTATCCCATTACTGCCTTTTGTTCTCTCTTGTTGACTATAAAGGCCACACCATTTTTTCTATGGGATTCTTGGCCACAGTAGTAGATCTTCTGAATTAAATTCACCCATTCCCATCCACTTTAGTTCACTGATTCCCAAGATATCGATGTTCAGTCTTGCCATCTCATTTTTGACCACATCCAACTTACCTTGATTCATAGATCTTACATTCCAGGTTCCTATGCAGTATTGTTCTTTGCATCATCAGACTTTCCTTTCACCGTCAAGACACATCCACAGCTGAGCATCTTTTTGGCTTTGGCCTAGCGGGTTCATTCTTTCTGGGGTTACTTGTACTTGCCCTCTGCTCTTCCCCAGTAGCATATTGGATACCTCCCGACGTGAGGGGCTCATCTTCCGTCGTCATATCTTCTAACCTTTTGTTACTGTCCATGGGATTTTCTTGGCAAAGATACTGGAGTGTGTTGCCTTTTCCTTCTCCAGTGGATCATGTTTTGTCTGAGTTCCCCGCTATGGCCTGTCCATCCTGGGTGGCCCTCCATGGGCCCACAGCCTCATCGAACCACGCAAGCCCCCCCCCCCCACCATGTCAAGGCAGAGATCCATGAGAGAGATTATGTTGTAGGTTGTCCCATTTATAACTACATGTTCTACATGTTTCATAAGATGTATTATAGTGATATTATAAGGATTATTATACATAATGATATGGTTTAATTGTGGTTATATTTTATGTTCATTTTATTTTATTATGAAATAAAAAGTAAATAATGATGTTTTTGGTAGCAAAATGTATATTGATTTGACAGTGAAATTTTACTTATGTGGAACCTTCCTACTGTAATTGCTTCATATAAAGGTGGCTATTTTTGGACCGCAAAAGAATTTCTTCCCACTTGATAGCAAAGTTATATTGTCTTTGTGGCACCTTTATTGTCCCCATGTTAAGTACCTCCAAAAAGCTCCATGCTGAAGCAACACTATAGAAGCTCTTTACCATGCATGATCACCTAGATGTGAGCAATATTCACACAATTGCTGACAGCTGTCAGGGAAATTATGTGGCTTTATTTGATTTGTTTCTAGTTGTTTTATCATGTGATTTTGAACCTCTTTTATAGATTTCAAATTTGATTTAATTGACACTAGTGGAATGTATTCACATTGATAACTCTTCTAAGCTTCTGTCTAAGCTATATTATATACCCATCCCAGTTCTGTAGGTCACCTATTATCAGCTGCTAAAATACCCTTTCAGCTTTGTATTATTTCAGCCATAACGTCTGAAGAATATTCTCCAGTTGTGCAAATGGGTACTGAATTATATTTAAACTGTTCTGTGCATAGCCTTCATTTTTTATTCACAATCAAGGAAATTTGCTTAATTTATGATGGTTGGGATATATTTACAGCAGTATGTATTTAGATATTTGCACCCCAGCATTTACAGGTTCTCCCCTCTTCCATTTTATCCTCACAATAAATCTGTAAACTGGAGGAGTGTGACTGACCAAAGGTTACCCAGTGAACTTCCATGACAGAGTGAGAATGTGAACCTAAATTTTCCAGGTGCTAATCTGACATAGTCCACTATGACATCCTGGTGTAACCTAATGTCATTAAAACCTTCAATACTGTAAAGAAAGTATTGTATAAATTCTTGCAAGAAAATAATGGTGATTTGGTTCTCTGTTGTTCCCTGGTTTTTCTCATGAATGTGCCACACTAATTTGACACAGAGTAGTGCTAAGGGAAAGGGTTTCACCATGATGCCCTTTGGTATGTGGTGTCGCCCAAGGGGCAATCCTCTCCCCAATGTTATTGGACATCTTTATGTGCCCCCTCACCCAGCTGGTACAGAGCTTTGGGCTTCGGTGTCATCAGTATGCTGACAACACCCAACTGTATCTGTTGATGAGCAGCTGGCCAAACACTGCCTCAGAAGGTTTGGACAAGGGATTGGAGGCCATGGTTGGGTAGCTAAAACAGAGCTGGCTGATATTAAATATATCAAAGACTGTGGCTGGGCCTAGGGGATGCTGGACTGGGATGCCAACTGTTGGCTCTTGACAGTGTGCCACTAACACCTGAACTGGCCATCAAGTGCCTGAAAGTGATTCTGGATACCTCCCTTTCAATGGAAGCCCAGGTCACAAATGTAGTTAAACTGACATTTTACCACCTGTGCCAGGTTAAACAGCTGGTTCCCTTCCTGTCCCTCTGACTTAGCCACAGTGATCCATGGAACGGTCACCTCCAGGTTGGACTACTGCAACTCACTCTATGCAGGGCTACCCTTGATTTTATACCATATTTTAACTGTATTGTTGGATTGTATTTTATTATATGTATTTTATTATGTTTATGGTATTTATTGTATTTAGAATTATTAATATTAGATTGTTAATATGTTTTATCAATAATGTCACCCACTCTGAACCTGAACACAGGGGAGTGAGGGCTATAAATCGAATAAATCAAATCAAATCACAGTAGACCATTTGGTCCTTCCCTAGGTGTGAGTGGTACGGCCTTGATCTGGTTCTCCTCATTAATCCAGGGTTGGTCCCAGACGGTAATCATGGGTGGAGAGATGTCATCACCATGGGCCCTAACCTGTGGAGTTCTGCAGGAGTTAATTCTCTCCCCAATATTATTTAACATCTATATGTGCCCTCTGGCAAAGATTGTCAGTAGGTTTGGAGTGGGGTGCCATCAATATGCAGACAACACCCAGCTCTACCTCTTAATTAAGGAACAACTGGTAGCTGGAATTCTGGTCTTAACCTCCTGTCTGGATGCAGTGGTAGAATGGCTAGGTGAGATTTGGCTGAAGCTAAAATATTTAGCTGAGGAAGCCCAGACCACTGGGGTGGCCACTTCTACTAACCCTTGACGGGGTCCATCTTTCTACAGTCAACTCAGACAGGAATTTGAGACTATGGCTCGATCCTTTGCTCTCCATGGAGAAATATGTGCCCTTGGTGACAAAGACTGTATTTTACCATCTATTGAAGGCCTACCAACTGGCTCCTTATCTGTCTTGGGAGGACCTTGCTATGGTAATTCACTCAATAGTCACCTCAAGACTAGATTACTGTAACTTGGGGCGATTTCTCACTAGAGCTGCCTCGCAGCACAGCTGCCGTTTGTCCCAACACAAACATGTCAGTTTCACACCCGAAGCTCCGGGGCTGCATTTTGACTCGAGGCTTCGCCCGATTTCCTTCGCAGTTTCGTGATCCTGGTTTTTGAGGATCATGAAACTGCGGAGGAAATCAGGAGAAGCCGCGGGTCAAATGCAGCCCCGCAGCCTCGGGTGTGAAATTGACATGTTTGTTTTGGGGCAAACGGCGCTGAGCTGCAAGGCAGCTCTAGGGAGAAATCGCCCATGCTTTGTGCAGGGCTACCTTTGAAGATGCTTTGGAAGCTGCAAGCATAGTTCCCTCTGAGCTGTGCTAGGGGGTGCTGGCACACAACATTTTAGCAGGCTGCTCAAGAATTTCTGCTTTCTGGTCACAAGGCATTTCCCCCTCCACTGGAAACGCCCTGGTCCAATCTTTTTGAAACTTGGAAGGTTTTTGAGAGGGACCAGCAGCTATGTTGCAAATTTGGTGCCTCTACCTCAAAAAACAGCCTCATCGAGCCCCAGATACTCCCAGATCGATTCTCCATTATAGCCTATGGAGCCATTGACTATAATAGTCCATATAGGCTACAATGGAGCTGCAAAAAACAATTTTTTGCACAACCCTATTATGCTTTTCAGTATGATTTGTAAACTGCCTTGAGTCACAGGGAGAAGTGGGATATAACTACATGAATAAACAAGTAATTTGGGCAGGTTGATAACATTTAAGCAACTTCCTGTTAGGTTAGGCAGGGTTCTGACGGTGATTGTTCCTCCTCTGTTATACTTGATCTGTAATGCTGGTTGTCATATTTCACTCAAAAACCCAATGTAGACTGCAAGAGTTCCCCCCCACCCAAGTGCTGGTATGTTTTCTAAGGCTCCGCACAAGGCAACGGTCCGAGGCCAGATCTATCAATATAGTGGACTGGAGCAAGTAAACCTGTTCTTTGAAGGCCAAGTCTACCAATATAGCAGACTGGGGCAGGTACACCTGTTCTCCGGAGGACAAGTCTACCAATACAGTGGAAAGGGGTGGCTGAAATTTGACTTGATTCTGTTTTTTCTTATAATATTGAAATTATTCTTAACATATAGTTTAAATATAATTCAAAATAATTTATTATGAGATTTTTCTAGGTTATGGAAGTAATCTTCTAAAAAAACTAATGTATGCAATTGTCAAATGTAGATTTGCTCACAACTTTAATGCTACTAGCTTTTTTTGCTCACGAGGTAGAATTTCTGCTCACAACACTGTGGAGCTTAGAGGGAACATTGCTCCCAACGAATGCTGCCTCTAAGCTGTGGAGTCTTGTGAGCAAAAATTCTACTTTGTGAGCTACTGGCATTAAAGTTGTGAGCGATTTGGCTACTGGTTTCCTCTGGAGCCATCATTCCTGAGCTAAGACAAAAATGTGTGAGCCGGAGGCTAAAAAAGCTGTGAGCTACCTCACACTAACTCAGCTTAGAGGAAACACTGGTGCCTGCAAGTGATCCAGAACTCAGCTGCCAGATTCCTGACAGGAGTGTCCTGGTCGGCACATTTAACACCTATCCTATAGCAGCTGCCAATTAAAGCCCTAAATAGCCTGGGACCCTCATACCTTTGGAACCACCTGTCCTGGCATGATCTTCCCTGTCTTCTCTGATCTTCATCTCAGCATTTATCAAAGGTCCCTGGTACACTACCACAAAGTGGTAACCACAGTTCAGATATCATAGGTAGTTGCCACCTGTAGATCTGAATTCCATTGCAGGGTTGAGATGATGAAGGATTTGGAAGCTGGAATGGTACAGCAAGAGTGCCTCTTCCAAGTTAAGTCTTCACAATTAATGAAGCCCTGCAGTGGTAGGAAGTATGGCATATAGTTAAATATTTTGGATTGCCTTGAGTTTGGGATTTCCTGAGGCATTTCCCAGTTCTCCAGGTACAACTTCTGATTGGACTGAACTATTAAGCAGCTAAATTACTTTGATATGGTAACAGAGAGGGAACAGTAGGGGGCTGGTTGAGACCCTTTACGCCTTTCATCACAATACTCAGCTGCAAACAGTATTTCATTCAATTGCCCTGGATGGCACTATTCCAGTAAAAAAGGTTAAGTCCTTGCAAACTTAGGTATACCAAGGAGTTAGATATACCAAATGACAGCCTTTTTATTCAAGGTGGGAATGCAGTTAATAGCATATCGGGTTGCCAGTCTCCAGATGGTGGCTGGAGATTTCCCAGAATTACAACTGATCTCCAGGCTACAGAGATCAGTCCCTCTGGAGAAAATGGCTGCTTTGAAAGGTGGACTCATTGGAATTACACCCTGCTGAGGTCTCTTTCCTGCCCAAACATTGCCTTCCCCAGGCTCTGCCCCCTAAATCTCCAGAAATGTCCCCACCTAGAGCTGGGAACACCACTAGCAACACTACTAGCACTACTAGCTGGCTACACTATTAGCTCTGCCCTCCCAAATCTCCAGGAATTCCCTTACCCAGAACTGGCAACACTACTAGCATGAGGTGATTCTGTCATTGCAGCATTACAAATTTCTATTGCAAAGCAGCAACCACATAGGATTAGAATATAAGTTAGGGGTAAAACTGATAACAAAGTTGCTAACCATTTCTTTGATCACAACACTTGGAGGTTCATATCAGGAATTAACATTCATGGAAAACAGGTGCATCTATACTTGCCAAAGTTCTGTGATCACTCATGCAGGTCTAAGTTTCCACAATTAAAAGAGGGTTAGTGGAAGAAGGACAATAAGGAACTGGAGCTTGGAATACTAAAGAAGCCTTTGATTGTTTTTCTAGAACTCCCTTCTATAGCATGTAAAATGTTACAAATGAATCTTAATGCTTTATCCTTAAAGCTCCACTCTCATCTGTGCATTTCATGTGATTTCAGACCCTCCTGCAGCTAAAAGGAAATAATTAAGGCTGTTTCCAATCTGTTCCTCTTTGTGCTGTTGCAGAACATGTACTAATATCAGAGTGTCAAAGAATTGCTGTGTTACTACTGTGCATGCGTAAATGAAACCATTCCAGTAGTTTGTTCTATTATCAATTTTTTAAACTCTTCAATGAAAGCACAGTTTAAATAAAACATAATTTGAGCAGTTAAATCAATTTCCTTTCATTTGTTTCCACTATGGTCAATTATCCATTTACATTTGAGAGGAATTTATGGTGTCAAAATGTTGTATTTTCTTATGTTTACTTCACTTTTTATGTATAAGTGAAGACATGTGAATCTTAACAAAATCTCATCACTTCATCGTTATTTTTTATTTTTTTTTAATGTTTTATAGGTGGTAAAGTGACCAGTTTGAGCCTTTAAGCTTTGCTTTGCTGGGGAAAAGGCTAATCTTCTCCCTGACACAGAAATATGGACATAAAAGATCGAAGGCACCGCTCTCTGA